TTGCAGTTCTTCACCCTTTCTTTTTCTGGTGGGAAGCCAAGAGCCTCTCTCTTCCCCATAGAAGCAGCTGCTCGTACAAAAGTGGAAGCAGAGTCAAGAGCAGAACTGCCTGCAGGATGGGAGAGGAGGTGTCCGTCTTTTGCAAACTGAGTTTTGCTATTGATGGTTGGTGTTTATTTGATTTTGTTTTCATTTATCTTACATAATTTCACTCTCCCACCTGAGGAAATCACAGTTAGCATTCTCATGAAGTTTGTGTATGTCTCTACATACATCTCTCCTGGGGCAATTTTATTATACTTGATTAGCTTGCTGGGATGTGAATAGTGAGTGGTTCTGCATAGAAACTGGATGTGGAGCCTGTCAACTTCCAAAATTAAATAAAAGCAGAGAGTTGTGCTATGTTAAAAAAAGGATATAGAGAGAAACAATCTCGTTTCTTAATGTATCTGCTTAAGGAAAAAGTTTGTGTTTTACCCTAATATGAAACAATTTAAAGCACCAGGAAGAAACTTGCCGGATAATTTGACTTCCTCATCAGGCTAAGGAGACGTTCACGGCAGCGTTTCCAGGCTGCTCCCGCTGCTCCACAGTTGCTGTGTTCACGGCCGCCCACCTGCCCACGCTGCAGGGACGTTCTCGCTGCCGCGTTTCCTCAGGCCTGTGTCCCCGTCGCGTGTGATGATTAAAGATCAGCTCCTGAACTCCGGGCAATTACTGGCAGGCCAGCGAAGGTAATGATGCGCCGTGCCCTGCGCCGAGGGCAATCCATTTAACTCAGTGGGAAGAGACCCTGTGGTGACCCAGGTCCATCTTCAGAGAGGTTTGATGTGTCCTGTAGTCAGAGCTGCTCTGGCCGCAGCCCTCGGGCACAGATGGGCCCAGGGCTCGGAGCTTCTCGCTGTTAGCAGCCAGCCCTACTGTAAAACGGGTTTCCCAGTTAAATCTCCAGGGATTTTCATATAAAAAGTTCTATTAAATTATATATCCAGTCATTTTGTGAAGTGACTAATTTTGGTGACTTCATAAAATGAACGGAACTCTTAGGGCCGCGTCTCGTGAAGCGCCGCGATGTGGTGACTCAGCCGCGTGGCCGAGGTCCCCGCGCGTGGCCGCGGAGCCGGGGCCTCGCTGCACGCTCCCCTTGTGCTCCCCGATGCGGGGGCTCGGCAGAGCTCCCATCATGAGAGTTTCCATGGTCTTACCGGTCATCCGAATTGTTTCATGCAATGCCTGGAAATTTTAGTCATTTTGTGAAATAACTGGTTTCATAATACGGCTGCAACACGTACGCTGAGCAGGCAGAGGCACGCCGGAATAGAATTGGTTGCTATTTTCTGCTGTAGTCAAGGCACTGTCTAGTCTGCATTCTCATAGATTAAAGTTTCTTCCCTCTATAAATGTTATAAAGTCTGCTGTTTAGCTATAAACAGTTGCAAATGATAAACAAATCAATATTTGTTAATGTTATGATGCACTAGCATCTATCAGATACGCATGGAATGATTTATAGAGTACAGCATTTCAGGGCTGACCCTTGCAGGTCTCAGAAAGCACTTAAAAAATAAATTTACCCTGGCCTCTCTCACCCCATTTCAAAAAGGGTGACAAAGATGAAGTAATTTATAAGTCACACTTTTATTAATGCTTTTAACTTTCATATACTTGGCTTTCTTGCCCTCTGAGCAGCTAAGTGCAGCTCTTGGTCGAATGGTAACCTTCGGCGCTTTGACGGGGGTTTGTACAAATGATCAACTCATAAATAGGTGCTGTGCTCCACATTATCCTGCCATAAATTCACAGGACCTTTCAAGTACATCAAGAGGGAGCAACTTGAACTAGGCGCTTTGCGCTCGAGTTTACTGACTAATGCAGTCCTAATGAGCAGCTGGACAAGGGTTTCCAGAGCCCATCCACGCTCCGCGTGCGATACGGGGCGCGCGGCCGCGCCGGGACCCGGGCGCAGGGAGGTGCTGGGGAACGTCGGGAATCCTCGCCAGGGGACAGGACAAAAACCACGCATCATCCCTCTGGTTTTTGATATTGTTATAAAATTTCCTGATAAAGTTTGTTATTGCTACACCGCTGAGGAGAGAGTATTAAATGAAACAGCTGGTTGTTCACAGTCAGCTCTGTGCCGTTAAGCCTATGCTTAAGCAAACGAGGGAGTACATCTGCCTGGATGGGAGCCCTCGGCCCGTAAAAGCTCCAGCATCTGCCTCCGCAGAGGCCTCTGTCCTCGTGGCGGGTCCGTGATGACAAGTAATTTAGTGTGTTGGTGATGCAGGGTGGCTGGGAGCTGCCCTAATGGCCACTGGGGGCATCAGGAAAAAAGGCAATTCTCCGTGAGAAAGCCGAGCGGCCCCGGGGTCAGGGTGCCGGGGCCCAGGCGTGCAATGGAAAATGCCTTTTCTTAAGGGACGTGTAAGGATACGAGGCCAGTTAGGACATCTTGATGCTGCTTGAATAATTATGGAAAATGAGGAAGGCAAGATGTGCTTCAGGAGCTGCTAGCTCTTCCAGAAGCAGAGAGGCCCCTGCCCGTTCGCCGATTCTCGGGACAGGAATCGGTGTTGCTGGTGCAGGAGCCAAGTGTGTTTGGGTTTCCTTTTTGTGCTTCCTGGTTAAACTTCTTTGTAGTTGCAGGAATTAAATGAAAACTTTTATTCTATGTGCCTCTTATCAAATAACCTGTGTCATAGTTAAGTTTGAGAGGCTTTGCTGCACTTTTCTGGAGTTTGGTTTTAACACAAGCAGTTTTTCCCAATCTCTGCTTCTCCTGTGCTGTGCCTGGAAAACACGGGTAAAGGAGAGAGCGGAGCCTCGTCGGGAGCTCTGCTTTATTTGCACTTACACTTTTAAGACAGTTGCATTGCAATTTCTTACTTGTCCCCCATACTTGGCATTAAAAGATGATGGGTCGGATCTCTTCATTTTCTTTTCTTTCCTTTTGCTTATCCCTAGACATAAACTTTTAATCTTTAAAAACCCACTTATATAAAAGTTCTCTCTAGTCCTTTTTGTGCATTTTTTTTATTGCTATTTTTGGTGGATTCTTTCCTCAAAATCCCTTTTCAGACAGTAGCCAAAAGTGAGGCCAGCATTTCCTTAGAGCTTCTGCAATCATTTCCTTGGGAGTTTGGGCTGTCCTTGCAGTAAGCTCCTGTTCATAGTTCATAGTTCAAAGAAAAGATTAAGCCAAATAACACCAAAGGTCAGGGACCATTGAGCAGATAAAGGGAGCCCCGACGTGGGCAGTTTGGGGGAAGGCCGTGCTCTGTGGGCAGCCCTGCGTGGATCTCCCTGCGGGACCTGCTGGACGGGATCCCGCAGCCCTGGTGGGAGCCGGGATGCGCTCGGAGCGGGATGGGAGCGGAGGTCAGCGGGAAGCCCCGGCCTCTCGCGCCGCGTGCGGAGCCGCCAGGAGCTAGCGAGGCCGGCGCTGACATTTCATTATGTTGATCTTAACTGGCGTGAGGAAAACTTGCGGACAGGGGCAGGGGGAGAGTTGGAAAAGCAAGCCATAAATTAAAGTAATAACAGTATGGGCCAGCAAACAGCACACACGTACACAAAGAGAGTCCCCGAATAAATACATTCGCTTTGATTTACGGTGCTGCGATAATCCATACCGTCATCCTTCCAGGAGATGGGAGGGCTTTTCTGTGTGCTGGTGAAGGACAAAATCAATGTTGGCTCTTTTCATTCTTTTAATAAGAAGAAAATAATTCCCCCTCCGCGTTCTGCCAGTCTTGGGACTTGCCTTCAAAACCCATATAAATCTGTAAAAAGGCACCACTGCCTTAGGATTTCCTTCCTGCTTTTCCTGGAGGTTTCTGCTGGACATGGCTCGTAAACCTGGCTGCTCCTTCACCGCATTGGGCAGCAGGTCGTGGAAAAGGCCTGGGAACAGGCCCGCGTCCCGGGGACCTGTCACGCAGGAGTGCTCATTCCTGACACGCTGCAGGTTGTTTGCATTTTATCACATATACTCCTGGTAGTATATTTTTAAAAAATGTTTCTAAATTGGTAAGACTGTTATTAAAATTAGCCCATTTCATCGATTTTTTATTATCTTCTAATATCAGCCTCGTCACCAAAGTCGTACGAGGTTTCTCCAAGAGCCAGGAGCCGTCGTGGAAATGCTATTCCCAGCACAGCTAGTCATGGCAGAGCTCCTCTCTGCCTGGCCCTCACCAGGGATATTTTGAAAAGTTAAATATTTAAACAATTTTCTTCCCTCTGTGGAATTAACTGATGAGTAACTGAATATATGGGCGGGCTGTGCGTTATTTTGAAGTACATTCGGTACCTCCCCGTGCGCTGGGCGGTGTTTTGGGCCCGTGCAGAGGAGCCGCCCGGTTGGGACACGTGGGTGCTGGCGCTGCCCGTGCGGAAGGACAAGCCGGGCGGCGCTTCCACCCTGGAGCGTGCCCTTCCTTTCCTCCGTTTCCCCCGGAGACGTGGACCCGCTCCACGTCACTTCTGTGTTTGTGGCGCGTGTTGCGCAGAGGGAGGGGACGCTCCCGGCAGCGGCGCTCCCGCTCC